GGAGTACAGCCTGGTGCTGTACTTGCAATCTTGGCTCACTGCAACCTCCGCCTCCTGGGTTCAAGCGATTCTCCTGTCTCAGCCTCCCAAGTAGCTGGGACTACAGGCACGTGTCACCATGCCCCGCTAATTTTTTATTTTTAGTAGAGACAGGGTTTCACAATGTTGGCCAGGCTGGTCTCGAACTCCTGACCTCAGATGATCTACCCACCTCAGCATCTCAAAGTGCTAGGATTACAGGTGCAAGCCACCAAGCCCGGCCCTTATTTTTAACATCTACAGCAATATTAGGCCTTTTTTGTTCCAGGTGGCATTTTATTGGTAACTTTTTTCTTGTCAGTTTGACAAGTCTTGATTTAACATCTTTTCAAAAAAACCAATTTGGGGTTTTATTGATTTTTCTGTACTGTATATTCACTTTCTATTTCATTAACCTATGTTGTTATTTCCATTCATTTCATTATTATGTGTTTTACCCAGGAGTCATTTTAAAATATTTCCTACTTTCCAAACTTATTTTTCTAATGATCTCTACTGTACTGTACCATAGCGGTACATAGTATTGGTAGCAATACTATGAAACTTGAGATTTGCTTTATTATCTAGTATTTGGTTTATTTGCACAAATCATATGTGCTTGACATATGTACTTTACATTTATTTCGGCACAATATACTATATGTGCCCATTTTTTATTTAAATCTTCTATATCCTTAATTTTAAAAAAATCTGAACAATTATTAGGTGTTAAAAATCTCTCACCATGTTGATGGAGATGTCTATTTTTCCATGTAGTTCTATCATATTTTTGTTTTATATATTTTGAGGCTATATCAAGAGTTACACACAAATAGAAATGTTATATTTATTGGTGAACTGAAATCTTTCATCATTTATTTAGCAAACATTTTCTCCAGTATCTTTGCCTCACAATTTCTTTTTGCCCAGCCAGCTTTCTTCTTATATTTGTGTGGTATATGCATTTTCCATCTTTTTACTTTCAATCTTTCTGTATCTACATTTTAGATGTGTTACCTCGCCCAGCATATGGCTTAAATTTCTCTCTTTAAACTATTCATCTTTAAAACATTATGTCTTTATCTTTAGTTAAAATACTACAGATAGCCTTTTGGGGTTCTAGATTTATTGGAGTATCATCTGTGAGACTACCTACCTTAGACTGGCTCTGTGTTTTGTATACTGAGCCCCTCTGAAATCATAAAAACAGAATTCAGCAAATTCCCTCAAGGTAAAGGCTGGCAATCAAGCTCACCTTATCTTTCTGAAATTTTTGTCTTAAGTTTTTAACCCGTATTCTTTACTTTGTTGATAGTTCATGAATGCCTTTAAGATTTTTAGGCCAGGTGCGGTGGCCCACACCTGTAATCTCAGCACTTTGGGAGGCCAAGGCAGGCAGATCACTTGAGGTCAGGAGTTCGAGACCAGCCTGGCCAACATGGTGAAATCCCATCTCTACTAAAAATACAAAAATTAGCCGGGTGTGGTGGCATGCATCTGTAATCCCAGCTACTCCAGAGGCTGAGGTGGGAGAATTGCTTGAACCAGGGAGGAGCAGGGCGCAGTGAGCTGAGATTGTGCCACTGCACTCCAGCCTGTGCAACAGAGCAAGACTCTGTCTCAAAAATAAATAAATAAAACAAGATTTTTAAAAAATTATCAAGCTTGTTTAGCTGTTTTCAGCAGCAGTCAGGCCAGGTACCTTGTTACCCATATTGACCTATTCATTTTTCACTGGATGCACATCATCTTTCTACACCCTAAATGAAGGAAATGTATCAAAGTTTACTCTTCAGCTTACCAATTATAGTGCATTATACCATCTCCTTTGGAGACTTCATCACTCTTTGTATAGTAATTACCATTTATTATAGTGACAATTACATTAGAATTTCTCAAAAAATATATGTATAAATCTTGATGATGGTGAGGGGAGATGGGGAATGGTTTAGGAAAAGTCCTACAAATGATATATACACATACAGGAATAACCATATGACCTACTCTATCCTAGGTGAGACTCACTGCTTTAACAACTCCAACTACTTATAACCATCTGACAAGGAAATTTACCTCTAGATTGACCTTTTTTCTGAGATTCAGACCTGCAACTTCAATTGCTGTATGAACTTTTCCTCCTGAATTCCTCCCACCAACACAAACCCAACATGGCTGGATCAAATGTCATCTTCTCATAAATTTGCCCTACCGACCAGTTTCCAAACCTCTATAAAAGATATTATGAGTCTTTGAGGTATCCAGACAAATCTTTGATTCATTTTTAAGATGTCCTTTTTCTTTTCCCACATCATCACAAAGTCCTTCCTGCATTCATTTGTGTTAGTCTATTTCACTCATTTCATTCCTTTTGTCACCCTCTTATTCTAAGAGGGTGTCAGGACTGTTGTAGTCTATCACCAACAGAGCTTGCTTCTAGTCCCTCTTGATTTCTATTCCTTCTACGTACTGCTATAAGGTGAATTATCCTTAAAACATTGTATATCAGCCACCCATTCAAATATATTTAATGAGTTAAGACTGCCTACAGAAGTCTTCAATTGGTCAACAGCATATTTATTTATTTATTTATTTATTTATTTTTGAGATGGAGTCTCTCTCTGTTGCCCAGGCTGGAGTGCAGTGGTGTGATCTTGGCTCACTGCAACCTCTGCCTCCTGGGTTCAAGCAATTCTCAACCTCCCGAGCAGCTGGGCATGTGACATCACATTCGGCTAATGTTTTGTATTTTTATTAGGGATGGGGTTTTGCCATGTTGGCCAGGCTGATCTCGAACTCCTGACCTCAAGTGATCTGCCTGTCTCGGCATCCCAAAGTTGTGGGATTACAGGCATGAGCCACTGCATGGCCAGTCAACAGCATGTTTAATAGTTGCCCAGAGATGTAGGGAAGAGAAGAGGAGGGGTAACCAAGAGGCTATAGCCATTGGCCAAGCAAATCCCATTTCATCCTGAGTGTTTCAAACACTGGTAAATTACTGTGGAATGGGATAATGCTAGAAGCAAAAAGTATCCCTCCTTTTCAGTTGATGATGGATTTCTAAAATGCTGTGTATTTTTTATCAGCCTCAGTCCACCCAACAAAACAAAAAGGACCAAAGAAGGAAAAAGTAGAGCATTCTATTTAAAACTGTCCTTGCCTACCCTAGAGACCAAGCTCTTTCATGAAGCCACCTTCAACTACCTTAATCACTGGTGACTACTATTTTCCCTAAGATCCACAGTTTCTGTCTACACTACTCAATAAGAAACTGGCATATGCTTCTTACTATTATAATTTATATTATCATTAACAAATCTTTTCTCCCTACCATGGGTACTACGAAGGACACAGTGTCTAATACTTCATATACCTGATATTTAGAATACTATACACATAATTTTAAATGAAGGCTTAATAATGATGGTTCATTCATGTAGTATTTAGCATCTATATTTAGCTTTCTGTATGTCTTCTACATGTGTATTCCAGGAGTTCTTAGAAGCCAAGGGGAAAAAAAGACAAAATTATCTTTAAAAGTCACACCTCTGCTTTTTAAAATGCTGAAATGATGTAACTTACAGTATTTTGACATCAGACTTAAACTGACTTTCATGATTCAGGTGGGAGAAAGAAAACTCTACACCTAGGTTGACAAATGGATACACTCAAATTAGTTTTTTTTTTTTTTTTTTTTTTTTAAATCTACCCTGGTCAGACTTCCCAGAGATTTACAAATAGGCTGATAATATAATCTAGAACTTCAGTCAACTATTTTATAATACAATTCAAGGAAAAAGTTCAGAATTGTCCAAAGTGCCTTTCAGATATACACTTATTGCAGTGTTTATAAAATTGTGGTTTTCACTTTTTGCTGATGTAAGGGCTATGCATAACATTGTAAAACAGTCATTTATTTACATCCCTATTTCCCACACTAGCCTATAGCATTTTGAAAGAACAAGATTTATTAATCTTTTTTCTTCAGTATCAAGCAGTTGCTAGGAACTCAATAAATGTTTATTGAAGAAATCTGTCACAACTCATATGACAGACCTAAAAATCCATGGATATCTTATTCAATTATTTTAAGATAAATTATGTTATTATACCATAAGATATTCAATAAGATATAAATATTTTAGCTATTAATTATTGTTTTAAAAAAAAGGAGCCAGAGGGAAAAGCCACCTAACAGCACAAAAAATGTGTAAGACTCCTTTAAGGTTTTTATGTTTTGATGACAAACAGAAACCAAACATATCACTTTTAAAAGGAAATGACCACAAGAGGCAGCAGGTGAGAAGTTCAAAACTACAGCTTATTATTAACAATCAACAACTTTTAGAGCCATTTATTAATCAGATTTTAGTGTAGCTTATAAGTTTAAGACTGAGAATGTTTCAGTACTATCCACATTTCAGAAGTCATACACAGCAAAAGGAATATCATTACTGAAGATAAACATTTTGGGTTAACCTAAAAAATTTTACCTAGATCCTACCTTGAAAGCTGACAAAAATATTCTTTTTTTTTTTTTTTTTTTTTTAATTTATTTATTATTATTGATATTTAAGTTGTAGGTACATGTGCATAACGTGCAGTTTGTTACATATGTATACTTGTGCCATGTTGCCTGTGCTGCACCCATCAACTCGTCATTTACATCAGGTATAACTCCCAATGCAGTCCCTCCCCCCTCCCCCCTGACAAAAATATTCTAATGAACATGTTCACAATATTATATTTTTATTCTTCATTTCTCTTCTTCTGATAAGTTGTTTATATAGTAAAAATGACTTGAAATAATGTCATAATAAACTAGTACTTTGTAAGAGTAATAAAATTAACTACGAGTACCAATACATTTTCATGTGAGTCTTACAGCATTTCTCATTAATTTGTTAACTCTATCAAATTTTTAGTTTGAGGGGAAAATATTTGTTAGCCACAAGAAAAGTGATCTTCAGACATTTCAATCATACCTGTTTCTGAGCTTCTACTTTTTGCTTTCTGGTTGGATCAATTGCATCTACCATCCATTTGATAGTAAAGTATGTCACTGCACCAAATATCGTCAAACGGAAAATTAAACCAACAACTTCATTCCGACTCAAAGGACGAGAAAAGGCTTCAGCATGTACCATCTTGATTGTTAACCTTAAAAAAAACAAACAGAAATGTCACTAGGTAATAACTATACTTATTAAAATTGGGAGACTAACAAAGTAGCTTAAACTAAGCAAGAAAAACTAACTTCTAGTCAAATTAAAATATTACCTACCTTAAACAAAGTGTTTCATTTTAAGGAGAAATGGATTTTTAAATGTTAAGTAAACAAATACATTTAAAGCTCCTCTTGCAAACTAGAAGTAGACTAGAAACTCAGATTTATTTGGTAGAATTAATCATTTTATTTGAAAAATACAGTAAATATCTTAAGGTATTTACTCAAACAGCTTTAAAGAACTATTTCAGAGTCTAGGAAAGTATCGACTACAACACTAATCCCACTGAAGAAAGGCGGCCCGACAATACTAATGTGATGGTAAGAATTTCTTCTATTAACTGTAATGTACACCAGGTAATTTCTGAGTGAAATTCAAATTGTGAACTCACTCACTTTTTCCTCATACCTACTTTTAAAGGTTTTCAAGGCCTGCTTAAATTTAAACATGCCATTTTCTCAATTAATAAGTGGCATTAAATTTTTTGAGTCACACTATTGCTCCCAACAACCCAGCTAAGTAGGAAGCAATAGAACTTGGAAAAATCTTGAACTGAGACAACTACTACAAGAATACAGCACTCACCCAAGCTAAAGAGAAAAAAATGAGGTAAATGTGCCTACTTTTGCATATATCCCTGAACAGCTACATCAATCAAAGCTAGGCTTACAGAAGACATACACTCCTCTGTCAACGGCAATAACTACTCAGAAGAATAAGCTTGTTAGGGGTGATATGACTATCACATTTTGGGAGATAGGATCTTAGCTTCAAATAATGCCATTATACTTTCAGTACAGGAGTGTGCTGAATGCTATGGAATATATAAGAAAAAGAGAATATGTATTTGCACTCATAAACATGACAAAAACAGAATTGGTATGGCTCAGCACAGATAAAAATTAGGTACTGCATAAATATCCACAGTCCTTCCAGCTCTAAAATTCTCCTCTCACTACTACTAAATTAAAGAGCCTCTTCACCTTCCTCCCTCTAGAATAGCTCCAAAATTTTTTTATTTCCTTTTATACACCTCACCTCCACTCAAGGATATATACTTCTTCTCTCTAATCAAAAGACTCCAAAGTATTCCCTTTACAGGATTCCCAAGCATTTAAAACTATTCTAATCTAGAATCTAGCTCCAGGGTCAATTTTAAGCATTTTATCTTTCACCCCTTTTCAAAGGGACTCTAAATAGCTGTAGTCACTAGTATCTGAAAATCCCACACATATTTTCCCTTCAGCATATCTGTCTAGTACCCTGCATGGGCCATTTACCCTCATTCACCTTCAAACTAGTCAAATTCTATCCTAACTTCAAAAATCAACTTCATCTGCTCCATAAATCCTTTCAAATCACATGAATTTTCTGTATTATTCATTTTGCCCTATTATACTATCTTAAAAAATGTCTTGCTTTTAATCATTATTGACCTTATGAGATATCTACTCAACTAGAATTTAAATCCTTTTAAACAAGATGTATATCTTATGTACCTTTATAACTGTTATGCACAAAACAGGCCTTTATAATTGCCACACACAGAGGCTATTCAAAAATTATCTGTTCAACCGATAAATTGTAACTGAAGAAAAACTCCCAATCATTCCAACAGAGTCACTGTCAGACTTCTGAAGGATTTCCAAAACGTTCCACATTTCTCCATTATTAGGAGCCATTCGCTTCACAATAATTATATTTAATTTAAACTTAACAACTAAATAATTGAAAGCGTTCATTTTGGAGGAAGAAACTTTGACCTAGGGATGTTAAGTGACTTAATTCATTCAATTAGCACTTACTGAACATCTATATATGACGCCCACTATATACTGAGTATACAATAATTGTTAAGATATCACCACTTTATTCAAAGAACACACTGTCCGGCTATTATATTAATTATAAAGAAAGCAAAAGAAGCCAAACAGGAGAAGGCACCTAACTGAAATCTCTCCTCATGGAACAAATCAAAGTGTGCTATCTTCAATCAGCATAGATTCCAAAAAAAATGGGTTACACAATATTTCACTTCTCATAGGAAGTAAAAAACTGACTTTTCTAGTCTTTATTCCACAAAGTTGAAAATGCAGTTGAAACGTGTTATATCACTACGTGGGGTATACTCACAGATGAAAATAATTTAGACAAGATAAGGGTTTTATTAACTTGATATGTGAAAAGTGCTGGCATTCCAGTAAAACATTTTCATTTGTTTAGAGTGGGTAGAGTGATAAAACTGTCATCTATTGGATATTCATTGAACTACATGAACAAATTAGGGCTGTTATGAACACATCCCAGTCATCAAGATAGTAACAACTTTTAATCCCATAAAAGTTCAAGATACAAAACCCGTTTATATCTTTCCCAATTCTGAAATTTTTAATGTAGTAAAGACCTAGGTCTACTAAGGCCACTTGTAAAATAGTAGTCCATCTTTTTAAATTACTTCAAAATCCTTCAATGAAACTGAAACTTGTTTTGTAGACTGTAACTATATACTTTATTGTACACTCATGTACCATTCATTTGGTATTGATATACCTGCAATGTAAGGCTGTTACAGCAACAATAGCATTAGAGCGAACATACAATAAAAGCTGCATGTGCATACAACAGCAGAGAGTGTATTTCAATCCTGTATAAACATTAAGTTCAACAAAATGAATACACAAATATGTACATATACGATGACAATGCTGTAAGCAACTAAGAAACATCCTAAAACACTATAACCTAGAGTTATTTGCTAGGCAAATATGGTATCAGGTCGTTTCATTTTAAGTTCTCCATTTCCGAGTGGAAAACTATGAAATCGTACTACCTCATCTATGAGCAATTTATTTACATGTACAGCATTCATAGCATAGCATTCACTGTAGCATTTCTCTCCTAATTCATTGCAGTATTTCACAAATGGATTCTCAAACTCAAAAGTCCCGGTTTTGCAGACATAAAGGCCCTACGGATACAGCCTATGACAATGAAGGCCTGCCAATATCCACAGAGAGCAGGTTATTATTAACATCACCATCTTCTGCGAAAGCGTGCCCGGCCCTGAAGAAGCACCTTCGAGTCTGCACAAGGTGATTGTCGCCCGTGCGACAATCAGAGCTGGTTCATTCTAGCCGCCTTCGTCAGGTTCGCCTGGTTCTGAAGTCTTCCGGGACGACCCCAAACCCCCACAGTGACCAGGAAGCCGACAAAGATTCCCTCGGGAATGGCACGAGTTTGGGGAGGAGCTAAGCAGACCCTAAGGACTCAGGCCGGGCCGGACGCCAAGGCGAGGCCCGGGACGCCCTTGGAGGTTAATCCTCTCGAGACTAAGGGCTGCGGGGCGCTTGGGGGCGGCACTGAGGTGAGGCGTGGCAGAAGACCGGGGTGACCTTTCCTCCGGGGGTTCCCAGGTTTGAGACGGCCCTTAAAGGACCTCAGCAGGATACGACACCCATCCCATGAGGCCCCACGGGAACCCGCTACTCACCCAGGAGCAGAAACAGCGGGAGCAAATGCCCTCAGCCGGCCTCGCACAGGAAGGAAATGCAGCCTGGGAGAGAACGCTTCCGGCGGGAACCCCGACCCACTCGCTCGCAAGGAGCATGCGCGACCCGCGGTCGCCGGCGAGAATGCGGCGTGCTCCCAGGGTTAGAAATGGTGAGCGAGAGCAAATTCGCGCACCCGATGCTTGCTTAACCTGCTACCTGCCGGACGGAGACTTTCTGCGAAGCCGGCGTGTCTGCCAGCAGCACTCGCTGAGGCTCTGAGTGTAACAGACACCACATTTGGGAAGGCGCTTATCACAGAAAGTCCCTGCCCTTCTCGCGGGCTCCGGGCGCAACCCTCACAAATCGGGCAGCCTTCTTGAGAGTGCAGAAATGCTCTGCGTACCCAGCAAAGACATTCTCTCCTTCCCACCACTCTGCAAACCCTCACGCCGCGGCTTTGTGTCTGTACTTTGGCCAAAACGCAGAAGCTCATGGCCACCTCCCACACCTCACCCCTCATCCCTCACCACCTGCCTTTCAATTCTAGGGTGAACTCGCCCTCCTCCCCCATCTCTGTGCTGACAAACACCTGAGGGTGGCGCCTGACAAATCTTTCCGGGAAAAGATTTAGCAGCCCACGCCAGCAGCCCCAGTAGTTGGGACGGAATAGGGCAACTGGCAACAGATTTTGCATTTTGGTGATTTCCCTTTTTCTTTTACCCGTTTCCCTTTCCAGAACGAGCGACGTGACATAAGAGGTCCCAAGGGAGCAAACCTGAAAGCCAGAACCTCCTGAATACACAGACTGCCAGGGGGCCAGATGATGTTAGACACTCCGAAGATATAAGAAGCATCACTTCCTTCAGATAGAGTCGGTGAGACTATGATGTAATGAGAGTTCTCCCTGTGTTCCTCAGGAAGGCAGTTTGTGCCTTTCTACTTGAGGCATCATCTTTGATGGCTAAACAATTCTGCAACTTGGCCAGCGCAGTGGCTCACGCCTGTAATCCCAACACTTTGGGAGGCCGAGGCGAGAGGATCACTTGAGGTCAGGAATTCGAGACCAGCCTGGACAACATAGTGAGAATTCGTCACTACAAAAAACAAACAAACAAACAAAAACCTAAAAATTAGCTGGATTTGGTGGCGCATGTCTGTAGTCCTAGCTACTTGGGAGGCTGAGGTAGGAGAATCGCTTGAGCCCGGGAGATCAAGGCTGCAGTGATCAAGCCACTCCACTCCAGCCTAGGGGTGAGAGCAAGCCCCTGTCTCAGTAATAATAACAGTTTTGCAGCCTGATTGTTAACAAATGTTACTAGTTACAAACTTGTAATAATGTGGTAAAGATAATACCTAGTAAATGTCTGCTGGGGTGGGGCAATATGCTGCCATGTGCTTTATATGCATAACCTAAATACCCCAAAATCCTCTAAAATAGCTATTATTTTCTCCGTTTTTACTAATGAGCAAATTTTAAAGCTTAGAGAAACTTTTCTAAGTTCATATACTTAGGAAATAAAGGCAACAATTTCATTGAGACACAGATCTGCCTAATTCAAACCTTGTACTTTACATTTTCTCTTTGAGATGGTAATTTAATATGAGCTAAACTTTAAAATCTAGTTGAAAGTAAGACCATGAAATGCCAAAATCACAAGGCTTTAAAGGAAGGGATGAAAGGGATGCATGAATGTTGAAAACTGTGATTAAGTTCATGGACAGGAATCAGAATGGAATTTAATACTGTAAATGGTTCATGTTTTATACCCATGCCTTTTTAGTATTTAAGGCTTTTATGTATGTGCATGCCTACATTCCTAATTTTAAAAAAAATTGATGTGAAGCTAGGTTTGGGATTGCTAGACTAATTATTTAGAGAGATAGACCTTTGAGAATAACAGGAAGATTATGAGACCAGGACAATGTTCATTAAAAACAAACAACAACAATGAAAAAAAAACAAAAACAAAAACAGAGGCTATCAGTGCTCGGCAGACTTTCAAGAGACTCTCCACTGGGTCGTTGGATGATCCCAAGTTGAATCATTGTTTGGGAGGCTCATGGGCACATGGTTTGACAGGACTAAAAGGGAATGGCCACTAAAGGAAAGAAACAGGTTTTGTGCCCCAATAGGGTAATTATACCCACTGGTAAGGAAAATGAGCTGAGAAATTCAAGGTGGTAATGGATTTTCATTCATTTGCTGAGTGAAATTGGTTCAACTAAGAGCCTCACCCGCCCTCCTCTAAGGACCAGGGTGACCAGCCTACCCAGTTTCAGTTTGCATGAGACTAAAAGGTTTGCTGGGATATAAGACTGGCTGAGAAAGTCTCAGGCAAATCATGAGTCACTTTACTAAAGACATCCTAAATGAATTCTACAATGAAATGGAGTTCCCAATATGGTTACATTTAGTTTCAATTCATCTGCCTAATATCTGAGGGATGATTGCGCAGGAAAGGAAACTCTTGAATAAAGTCATCAAGGCTGACAGTAAAGAGTCCACAAGCTCGAAAAGTGCTACACCTCACTGACTCCCTTTCCAGTGGTTCAGCTGTAAACCAAATGCCTACACCTGTGTGTTTTGGACCTAATAATTTCATTTAGCGAATCCTTAAGAAAGCTTCCATGTCTGGGCCTAAGACATGAAGTACATTCATTTTCAGCAATCATCAAATCAATGAGGTTCTTCCAGAATAGAGCAGAGTGAACATATGCTTTTCATACTGGGATAGCTTTATATAATCCCTGGCAACACAAATACCATATTTGGCTCACAGTAGGGGCTCAATAAATAATTCATTATATATAATATTAATCAGGAAATTAGAGCAGATTGTAGACTTTCTAGGCCTTTGCTCTTTGTTAGAATCAAGATATTAAAAATAATTATTACTTTATTGTAGAAAGTTTTTGGGTTTTTTGTGTGTGTGTGTTTTCTTTATCAATACCTCTTAAAATAGTTATGGCAGTTCTTCCCTGCCATAAAATGGTACTAAATTTTCCATTTTTGTTATTAAATGGAGTGTAGCCAGTTTGCTCTGCAACCAAAGTTAATGCACCAGATACTTGGTGGGAAAAAATAATTCCTTAGATTAGGTATTCTCGGCTGGGCTCAATGGCTCACACCTGTAATCCCAGCACTTTGGGAGGCCGAGGTGGGTGAATCACCTGAGGTCAGGAGTTCAAGACCAGCCTGGCCAACATGGTGAAACCTTGTTTCTACTGAACAAAAAATACAAAAATTAGCTGGGTGTGTTGGCAGGTGCTTGTAATCCCAATTACTTGGGAGGCTGAGGCAGGAGAATCTTTTGAACCTGGGAGGCAGAGGTTGCAGTGAGCTGAGATCATGCCACTGCACTCCAGCCTGGGCAACAGAGTGAGATTCCATCTCAAAAAGTAAATAAATAAATAAAAATAAATCAAATAAAATTAGGTGTTCTCAAATTTCATTGTATATGGATTAATTTGTACAACTTGACAAAATGCAGATTTCTGGCTCCCAGTCTTCAGAGACTCCCATTCAACTGTTCTAGGTTTTGACCTAGAAATCTGCATTTTAAAATAAGCATCTGGGCTCTCTGCCATGTGAGGATGCAAGAAGGTGTCTGTCTGCAAGCCAGGAAGGGTACCCTCACCAGACACAGCTTATGCCAGTATATTGGATTTCCCAGCCTCCAGAACTGGGAGAAATAAATTTCTATTGTTTAAGACTATCAATAAATCAGTAAACAAACATCTGAGCTGATTGGGATATAGGTAGTTTTAGAACATATTTTGAGAAACTCTGCCCTAGTGAATGAAGACTGTAGATGTATTTTTGCAAAAATCTCCATCACCTCAACCTAAAAGGCCTATCTGGTCATCTGAACCTTTAACCCAACTGGAATACATCAAGAAATCAAGGCAAGGAAGCCTCATGACGAGATTCAGGATAGAACCCCTTTGGAAGGAAAAACAAATCTGAAATCTTTGAATAAGTAAACACAGTAAACCTGACTCTATTCATTGCTCATTAGAAGTAATTCACTTGACAGTGATTTAGAAAGGATAGAACTTCAACAAATACATAAAATTTTGTAGCAGTAATTATGCCAGTATAAGTCACTTGGTTACCTTGGTTCTTTTAAAAATATCATAAAAGGATAATTTCAATTATTATTTTTTAAGTTTTTAAATCATGTCTTCTGAATCATATGAACCATTATTTTGATAAGGTAAATGAAGTAGAATGGGTGGAGAAAGAAAAGTAAAGCAAGAATATGAAGCTATAGCTGAAGCTGTACTTGAAGCTACAATAGACAGAATAATATAGAACACGATGGAGTAACTATTCAGCCATTTTAAAAAATGAGATCCTGTCATTCGCAACAACATGGACAGAACTGTAGGAGATTATATTAAGTGAAATAAGCCAGGCACAGAAAGACAAACTTTGCGTGTTCTCACTCATTTGTGGGAGCTAAAAATTAAAAAAGTTTAACTCATGGAGATAGAGGGTAGAATGATGGTTATCGAGGGCTGGGAAGAATAGTGGTGGGGGTAGGAGGGAAGTGAGAATGGTAATGGGTACAAAAATATAGTTAGATGGAACAAATAAGATCCAGTATTTGATGACAGCAGGATGACTATAGTCAACAATAATTTAGTGTGCATTTTTAAATAACTAAAAGGGTATAATTGGAATGTTTGTAACAAAGAAATGATAAATGTTTGAGGTAATGGATACCTCATTTACTCTGATGTGATTACAACGCATTGTATGCCTGTATCAACATATATCATGTACCCCATAGATACACACACCTACTGTGTACCCATAAACTTGTTTTAAAAATTAAAAAAAGCTAAACTAAAAAATAAGAAGAAGAAATAAGATAGAATCAAGGAAAAAATAATGGAAATTTAAAATTTCAAAAGATTGGAAGTAGTAGAAAGATGAATTGATAACTCCATTCTGTAAAAAGGAGAGAACTAGAAAAAAAAA